CAATCTTTGAGCCTTGATGACGCCCTATTTAGGCCGTTTTGCGACTTGACAACACCATATATGGTATACGAGGTGGTCACATAGCTCAGAAACTACTTTTATGTGAACTTAACCCTGAAGATCGAGTTTGCCCTCGTCCTGTCGGCATTCCTGTGATGAAAAAACCGGGTTGTTTTCAACAATTTGAAACTGCTTGAGATAAACTAGCACGCGTGAATTCCAATCAAACGCTATTCCGCCTTATTCAAACAGTTTTGTAGCCAGCATTGGCGACGATGATGGGTCGCCACGTGCAGATAGTTTTGTTTGTTCATCGCCTACAGAGTGACTCATACATCGAAGGCCTTCGGAACCTCCTTTACCCTTTTCCTTTCTCAGAGAAAAAGAGGTAGTAGAGCAGAAAAATGTCTGGGACACTCTTTACCTCCCACTTGAAAAACTAGTTGCACTGGGAATCACTTCACCTGACAATCCTGATAAAGCGGATCCATTCGTGAAAGACACAGGGTATAGGAAGACATCTCGTGAACATCGCAGTAGTAGAGCTGACTGGCTGATTTTCTGAATTCAGATCAATTCTTACTAAATCGCCTGCAGTTACTCGAAACTTACTTGAAAATCAGTTGCCCATTCGGTCCAGCCGCTATAGATTTCCCAGGCGAATCGACTCCAGTCACAGACAAACAGTCCCGCAACGTGTGCGGATCCATATCTGGATTAAGTAGTAATCGATTGATCAGGAAACTCTTGATGTTCTTGAAAAGGCGAAAAATGAATGAGCGATGGAGGCAGCCAGGCGGAAGTCCTAGATGATTCATAACTACTAGTTGGCTTGCTAATGAAGAAGAGTGCGACTCCATTCGAATAGATAAATGCCACCTGCCATTCATGTGTCGATACAGCTGCGTCAAAAACCTAATCGACTCACGTTTAAAGAAAAACCCGTAATTTTTTATAACATTTGTCTACACAAAAGTGAGAGTAGCGTAGTGGTTCGAGTTACGATTGTGCACCCCATAAGATCGGAACTGTCTGTTCCCCTAATAGGACAGTTTATTCGAAACCCTGACCTTCGATTCTGACATTCCTATCTTATCCCCCGCTGAGAACGCACCCAAAGCGGGTTTGTACTACTCTTGAACGTGATCCAGTAGATGTTGCAAAAAAACTCGCCACCACCTGCTATTTCATCCTTCGTGGTTATTGCTGCTACAGGTAAGGTACACACGTACTGGTACAGACTCTGAATGAGTATGCCTGTTTCATGCCTACCCAAAGACTGACCAGATGAACTATTGGTCAACCTGCGCTTCGCAAAATTGCCATCATTTCAATTAGTGCAAAAACAACGTTTGAGGGTGAGAATGTAAAGCTTTTGGCTCTGATCGATCTATTTTGGGAAGCGTCTATGAAGTCGACTTCCATTCAAAATAGTAGCGGTATTTGGATGTGCACTGGACTGTTCAACGCAGGAGCATTTACTTATTAGGTCTTTCTCTTAATCCCCGGGACCAGTTTGATAACATTTTACCGAGCCCGAAGGGATAAAAGACCTGGATTGCCTGAGAGTGGTTTGGGGTGGGAGTTGGGTGGGTTTCTTCTAACCGAACGGGGTTGGCGTTCGCCACGTCCGGTTGCACGCAGTCGCGCACATGGAAAGGGGAGATTTCAGTTGGAACAGCGGCTTTTAAAGACCTGGATTCTCAGCGGTAGAATACGGTAATCGCTGCGAAGCCGCTGACTTTACCGTGGGACTTCGTGTAGAAATATCGCCACTGATGAGATTTG